GTTGGGCTGTGTGCCTCACCCTGGATCACTTAAAACATCCCGGCACACCAGAGCCCTAAGGCAGACCAACACTTATCGAGTGAATCGTTCGGGCCATTGGAATGCTATGTCAAGTATGTAGTCTCCTCTAGAGAATACAGGATACTCACTGGTTAACGGCAAACCAAAATGGATGAGTTGACCCTCAACTTATTTGCAAACTGATCAAACTTCCTTCAAGAAGGTCTAACATTCATGAATTTCACCTGTCTTTCAGTATTATTCGCAACGATTGTGAAAGAAAAAAATGTTTACAAACGAAAATCTGGTGTGAGGCCCACATTCTGACACTTTAATTGGACTTTATTCTCAGCATATTCAGGGCTTCAAAGTGAGGATAATAAAAGTTCCTATTCCCATGTGACAGACTTAGCATGACATATACCAGTTTATAAGCACCATCAGCTGACAATTCTTGAAAGTTTACGGAATAGTATGTGGAATTGCATAACTCACATACCAGATTATTGATATGCATAACCACATTAAACTTGCTGCAAATCAAGACACGGGCATGGATGTCCATCTGTAATTACACAGGTAGGTTCCACTACCAATAACAAAAGCGCGCAATGTTCAAAGTTTGCCCTATAACCAGCCGACGTTGTTAGTCCATAGACATAGTTTGTTATTTAGTAATATAACCGCCCATTCACCAGAAAGTTCTTCAGTTTTTAGCTTTGCCAACGAAAAAGGACTAATTTATACTATTAGAAGTATCAGTAAGCGTCCACAGCCATATAACCATGGTGTGTCTAAACCAATGCATTTCCGGTTCACCAAGTTATGTAAATGGTAATGATTTTGTGTGTCAACTCGTACGAGAAACAAACAGGTTAACTTGGCCTCTGGGGACCTAAACTTATGTCAAATGAAATTTGAGAAACAATTCTAGGTTGAATCTGCCTACACCATACCACAAACCGAAATAAATGTTTCTTAAGAGTATCGATCGTATGAGAAGCACAAGGTAGTTACGTAAGCACTCACGAAATACAAAGAGACACTTTTGTGACAAAAAGTAATAACGTTGGATCATAACGTCTGAATGGGCGAAATATATTTTGTAAAATCGCAGTGATGTAGAAAGACAAATTTCTGACGTTTCGTGACTTCGTGGAAATCGCTTCCTTAGAGAATAAAGCCTGTACACGTTATCGACAGTTTAAATGCTAAAAGGTGACCAATCAGGTCCCACTGTCCATACATGACAATAACACGAACGTAAATGTCACTGTTATGCTGGTCAGGAATTCATTTTTCTACTTCATGGGGATTTCACAAAGTATATTCCATTTATAATTCAGCTACCCAATGCTCACCTTGTTCGACTCCATCGGGTCAGATTTTGATCCTGAAGTTTACAAAATAACATCTGAAATCTTTCAAGTCAGTCGCACTGCTAGGTTCAACTCGTAAGAAGGAAGGTGTTTTACGTAGAAGTCAAGCCTAAGGAAAAGAAAACTCATGTTGCGTCCAGTTTGATTGGTAAGCTGTAAACCGACAGTGCAATAGGGATCTGTAGATTCCAAGATCACCGCAGCCGTATTTAGCCCCGGTACTTCAACATATTGAGTTAAATTCCACTATCTTCAGGTTGGTTGGGTTTTCTTCCAGTGCCACTACAGTTCCATAACATTTTTTAGGGCGCTGTGTAACTAATTAAACTTTGGCCAAGTAGTTCAGACATAGGGGCATCCAAATTTGTTTTGTGGCGTAAGTTTCTTTTCCGTAGATCCTACACGGACTCACCATGGTGATCCGTGCTTGTTTGCATGATAGGGACGCTGGAAGTAAAAGAAAAGAAGAATGGTGAGAAATTGTAGCAAACTTACTTCAGGGGCCGTAGTAAATACTGGCGTATTCACACAAATGACTTTTTGGATGATTTCATGATAAGCGTGGTGATAAACTTCGGTATCCTGTTCAGTGTTTTCTTCTAGTGTGGTTCTGAGCTGAAAGCGTCATTAGTGGTTTCCAATGGGTTGTTGACCGCCACAGGAAGGATAGCCTTCTGACGCTGAATATGCCCGGAGCTGTGTTATTTTTCATAGCTAGAAACCGATCGATATACGACTTATTGGGTTAGGGCTAGTGAATTTGAGCACCGTAAGTAGATAACACTTGTCAGCGATGCATAGGTTCATGTGAGATCGAACTTGTATGCATTCGAAATCGAAAACAAGAGATGCTTTTGATAAGCATGATGATTTTAACGATGCGTCTCGGCCAATTTATGATAAACATGGGAGCAACCACGCGTAGAGCGACCCTGAAATTCGTGACAAATCACTGTTCTAGTTGCTTAAGTAGGTTACCAAGGGTTAAAGGTCACTCTGTCGAATAACCTGCCTTCACAAAAGATGAAAGTGACTTCAGGTGTCAATAGACAACCGATGAGTTGAAACCGGTGTACGTGATGGGAAGTTCTGTGGCGGAGACAGATTGGTTCATATTGCTGAGGCCACTTAGGATTTTCGTGGTTTCAAAGTGAACTGCATGCTAGGGTTTCTGGATTGGAGAATGATTGTGCGACCTTTTCGCACCACGTCTTCACCTACTTTAGTAAGTTTTGCCTTTAGAGATATCTTAACGACCTTCGGGCAACTGTAACCACAGGTAGGGAGTACTATGGGTGGTGATTTTTAAGCGGAAAATTGCCTATTATCGTGGAATGAGCCGAACTCCGGGAGTCGCCTTGTCGTTGAAATACGTACTGACAGAATGACTGCCCAATCATGCTGAACTGTTGGGGGAGGGAGACGTAGAGGATGAGGCATTCATAGTAAGATGGACGCAAAAGGACACCATGCGAATCGTGAGCACGTTCAGTCTACAGTTAATCTTCAACTATGACGGTGATAATAACAATCCAATAAGTCGCCAAGGCGGGTTGTCAGTTATGCCAACGCTATTCAACCAGCACAAACTGGTGGCACATACTGTTACTCCCTGCCTAGAAAACATTCAGCGGACATGGATAAAAGGTTCACAATGGAACGATCAACTTAATGAATGGCCAACTTCAGAATGAGTGAGGCGGTTGAGTTATCTCATATCAGCACGCTAAATTTGTATTTTCTGCCAGATTCAGGGGACGAAAGACATTGATTACGTAACTAACCATACGGTTTCGGATCGACTAGAATTTCGCTGTGTGAATAGCTGCCTGCCTCCCTTCTGGGTGCGCTGAAAACATTGGTGTTAGGTTAAGTGAAAAGATAATGCAGATCACACATCTTACAACAGCTCCAGTTTTAAGGTTGAAGTCTACTGCCTCTGGTTACGCATGCGAAAGTTTTCTAGCGTTCAAAACCAGTTAAACTGCTCTTATAGAAGCGCCGTCTCTCAGGCTGATGTTAATGTGTACCGTAGGAATAGAATCCAGGATATATTCCATCGAGAGGGTGTCGGAAGGATCTTGAGGTCCTATAATGTCTAGGCTATAGTTATTCTTGAAAAGAAGTTGGATTAAGTGATTGCGAGGACACCTAAAACTTGAAAGGTATTGCGAAGTTAATTCATACGGAACAGGTACTTTCAGGAATACATCCTTTTTCAGTCTTATATTTCTCGGAATAATTTTCTGAATCCTGTCACTTGGTTTGCTAGATTTATGAATTCCTAAAAGAATACTTGCCATTCTGAAAACAGTGGTGCTTAAATGTGCAGCATTATTTGCTGGTAGAAACCCGGGAGCATTGGACTTTGCTTACAGAACGAGTCACGCTAACCCCCAGTGTCTACATCAACGTATTCAGCAATGAGATAAACTGCACGATTTCAACTTTATGCACTCATCTATCATGATGTAGCTTTTTGATGGTTTTCCTCAAGAATTTCGGACCAAATTCGTGCAAAACACTGGAATTACTTATTTCAAATAGTCTGAGACTTACACAAACTTAGCTCATTTCATTGAACTTTGTACCAAGAAGGATTGTTTTTCATCTCCACAAACTAGCTTCAGTGACCTTGTCAGCAATTCTGAATGGAGTGTAAATACATGCGTCTTCGTTTCCGTGAGTGGTTTGGATATCGTGGTATGTTATGACTATCTTAGGTCAGTTTTCCACCACTTTCTACAAGTATAGCACAGAATTCTTTCATAAATGTTTGTCGTTATTGAAATATTGGCGATTGTATGGTTTAGGCAATCCAGATCAGGCTCATTAATTCAGACTGATATATTCAGTGATGGAACAGTATTTCAGTCAGTTCTGGGATGTCCATGATGTGACGATGGTCATCTCTATGTGTACATGATTCCGTCCCTAAAACCTCCAGTTCGAGACATCGAAGATCACGTTAGTTTCGAAATGAAACTGTAGTAACTGGGACGGGGGAGTAACTCGTCTACTTCCCAAAAACACGTAGGTTCGATCGATTCATTCGTTTTATCACTTCAAATCATTAGGTCATGATGATAATGCGATGTATATACGTGTAATTTTGCACTAGCTGTATTCACTCGTATTGATGATCGGACACCATTCCCTCACTTCGAAGCTACGACACACAGGGTTGGTAGAAATATCCTATTGTGATATAATTTTCCTGGGCGTATCTTGACAGTGTTTCTGAAGATGGTTCTCATATCTCTAAGCATTTAATTCTACTTAATACTAAATACTGCTGTTCCAAATAACCCCCGGTAACCAACCCTGTCGCGAACTAACTTCGTCTATCAAATCACAGAATTTGGAGACCCACTGCCTCTGAAAATCTTACTTGAATTGTTTTAGAATGCAAACATTATTTGATAAGCGTATGTATCCTCTGTGAATGGCTTAACTCGCTCTACCTATTGTTTTCATCCCCAGATTCGTCATATCTTTCTATCATGTGCATTATTTTGATTTCAGGGGATTTTCACCAGTTCTGCCTCTTCATGCAAGCCAACGTTTTGTATCCATGAAGTGGGGGAACTTTGGATTTAGTTTTACCTAAAAACGTCTACAATGTGGATTACACTAACATCTCTATACACCAAACGACATATGACACTGTACTTAAATAATTTATGCACATTCACACATATCGTAATATTTTTGTTGATGGTTCCTGAATTACACTGTTCAAACAGTAAGTCTGTGTTAATATTATGATGTTTGTATACTTCATGGTGTTCCTGGTGTGCCTTTAATTCTGACTATCGAAGCTGAAGTTCTACGCCTTGATTTTCTGACGAAGCCTGAGTTGTATTGTTTAATTCGAAATTTCCAAGGCTTTCTAGTAACCATTACTTCCTGCTGAGTATTCCGCACACGTAGACTGGCCTTACATTCTTGACATAACGTTAAATAGCTAGTTTCTATTTCCTTATGTGTCATGTAATCCTCTTGTCTACGATTTTCAAATTTATTGACAGTTACTCAGCGGTGGCTAAACTGTTATTTAGTAGGATATCTATTTTTAGTTAATTTCCTAGTTCATGTCTGATCAACAAGAAAATTCTGTCAGACACTTGTCTTCATAACATCTAGAAATTTCACGTACTTGACGTTTTTGCGTCTGGTTTATTGGCTCGAACTTAGTTTTATAGAATCTAGTTATGAAACCCTAATATTTGATTACTGGTCATTTTCCCGGTTATAGTCGCCTTGGTAGTCGGTGGTCCGTAATGTTTAAGTTGTGATTCGAATCAGAAACTGCCTAAACCACACCGTGCTGTCTTTGGTGTTGCTGTGTAGAACTGCTGACGTCAAAACGTTTGAAGTTTTCAATAGTAGTGATGTTACCTCAGCCTGTTTCATAATCAGTAGTAATACTCCAAAGAAAATCGAAAATTCCTGAGTTTAGTGTAAATCTTTTATCATCCAGTTTGTTGTCGAGCGGTATTGCGAATAAGCTATATCTATAGTCATAGAGTTACAAATTAGCCCACTCTAAGCCTGTTAGAATCATTTCGAGTTGGTGCAATGTTGTAAAAATCCAGTAAGTACCACCAAAGTTTGTAAGCATTGTTTATTTGAATGTTATGACACCAACACTCAAGTTGTCTTGACAAGTTTCACAGTCATCGCCTAGTAAATTTACACCATTCTGTGTGATCATCGTCCATATGTCGGCAAAAATCTGCTTGTACAATCTTTTCCGTCCATTTCTGCAGTAGGATAATGTACAACTCCGATATTCAAGTTCGTACCGATGTCTAAAAAGACGACTAAGCCACTCAGCTCAGAGAAAAACAACCAAGATCATCCACTTGGGTTTTAAGTATTCTCCACTATTTTGAAACAAATTCCTCACTTATTATCTGTTTAAAAACTACCATGGGTTTTTCCTGACTCATATATTTTGTAAATTAGCATCTAAGTTTAGTTACATCATCATGTTAAGCTTTAGGAAGCGTACATTATCATGAATAGCATTTGAATGGTTTTTGGTTATAGAAGTAAATGTGCTACTGTTTTGCTGAAGTAACTGGAAACCTTAATTTCATCAGTATCGTTTCTCTCAAACATTTTCTAGAATGAATAGGCTTGTTACTGACGAGCCAAATGTCGTAAATTGCATTTGAAATAAAAACACTTCAATGGCTTTATCGTACAGTTGATCGTGTTTTGTTTCATAGTGCTTAAAAACTAATAGAAATGATGGCTCCGTGTCTCCTCTCCGTCTATTCTTCTGTTAAGTATCTTCTAGTTGCACTTCCTAACACTTGGTGAAACCCACTATTATATCCATCGTCATCTTCATAAATTCTAAAACCGAAATACACAGCACAGAAGACTTCAATTAAAAATGTATGCTTTAAACTGCGGATGTGCTCTGTCACATATATTTCAGAATTTATAGATTGGATCAAAACCTGTGGTAATCTACTTGATTTTGGCTAGACGAGAAATCCTGGACTCACGTTTCGTCCTATTTGAGGCTCATTAGCTGGTTACACCTGCACCCCAGTGAGTGTTGTTCCCACTGGGACTCGGACCTCGTGCCTATCACTTCAAACGCCATAGCATTATCCACTAAGCAACTGAGACACAATAGACACCTCTTGTGCAACGGGAATTGAAACCTTACTAGTTATATTAAGTAATAAAAAATACACTTCCTGCTTGAAATATTTGCATTGAGCACCCGGAATAATAACTGCGACTTTTATTTTGACTGACAAAAAAGATGTTTTCAAGTGTCATCTGCTTCCTTTGTAATATAATTCGTTAAGGGTGTAGAGCGCAGTAACAGAATGCCGTAAATATTATAACATACCATTACCAAGTTTCTCAAAATAACTGCATTATACTAGTATAAAGAACTTGATAAATATTTCTCTTCATACGTGTAGTTTCCTCCAAATATTTCTCGACTAGTCGACTAAAACTAAACGTACGTGCGATTTTTAGTAGAACCGCAATAACTTCTGTATATACTGGTAGAGTGATTTATGTATGCGATCTTTGCAGTACACCTTAGCTCCATAAATTTAAGAAAATGGATTACGATTTAAAACTATGACCAATTTTTGTAATTCAAGTATGTGGGACACTGAGACACTATTCTTCACCTTTTCAAAAACATGTTCAGTTAACGTTAAACTAAAGAAAACTTTAGACTTTGTCTAACCATGTTTTAAATAAAATTGAATTTCAGATTTTGATTCAATATAAGATTAAATTGATATCTAACATGCTTTAATATAATGGACTTCGGTCTCATATTTATTTGAACATTGTATAAATAGTTGCTAAAACTTGCTTATGTGTAGATAATTCTGATTGAGTTGGTATTTTTACGAAATGTTAATTCATTTATCATATGTTTTAAAGAAAAAAAGAAAATTGATTAGTTTATCATTATGTGTGTAATGATTTTCGAAGTAGCTGAGAAAATTAAATGTGTAAAATTATAAATTTATTTCATAGAAACATGCAAATGACTTTATTACAATCATTTTAAATGCTTTTTCAGAACGTACTTGATAAACAGGTTTTAGATGAATATTTTCATTATTTTGTTTTTGCTGAATATATTAGCTGGCTTGTGGCGAAATGTACAATTTATTATAGACGTTGGTATTTTTAATTGTCTGAGAACTTTTAATTAGTATACATGAAACATATTTTGTAAAATCCTATTGAAGTAGAAAAGTAAATTTCTGACGTTTCGTGACTTCGTGGTAATCGCTTCTTCAGAGAATAAAACCTGTACAAGTTATCAATAGTCTAAATAGTAAAAAGTGACCAATCAGACCACATTGTTTAGTCAGTATGTCTTTGAAGCTCTTAGCCACTGAATTGAGGATAGGTGTTTTCGTATGAAAAAATCACGAGTCACGATAACGATTATAGCGACTATTATCTGTTTATCAGTAGAAAAATATAACATTATCATATGGTTCGTATCAGTAAGGTAGTTGGGATACTTTTTACTGTGCCAAAACGTCATGCGGGAAAATATTGTATGTATTTATTCAGACTTGATTACTTCCGGACTAAACTGTAAACCTCATTATTTGTTATTACATAAAATTGCTCTATATTCGTCGTACACCCTTTACTGACTGACACTGATTAAATCAACGTAGAACCTCGCACACATGTGAATCAGCCCAAGTTGCCAAGCTTCACAGTAGTACACAAAGAACAGGTGAATAGAAAAAGAACGATATGAAAGTAGACGAAGTTGTGTAAGAGAACAAACGATGTGAAGATAAAGGTTAGTGCAAACACTCAAGATTTAGATGTCAAAAAGTGCATACATCTGCTCCATTGTGACCAGTTTTCAGCCATGTCAGGAAAAGTCAGTTCTCAACTACTGATTCGTTTTGGTGACCCCATCCAGGTAGTCTACATCTCCCCACACGACTCAGACGAGCAGTAAAAGACGTCATCAACTAGTGCCAGGTCTCAATCTGGCCACCCTGAACCCTCCAACTTGATCCATTTTCCCCTAGCATAGTACCCCGTAGAATCGACGAAATCAATGTCTTTAAGGTAGAGAATATAGTCGCATATTATGCAGTGATAAAGATAGATAGTGTAAATAATAAATCGTTTAATTGACCCAGAATTTTTACATACAGCACAGTTTGACATTTTCGTTATTATTACGGTTGACGTGTGTTCATTTTAGGACAAACTTATGGTTTTACAGATTTCTGAATATTTTCTAATAACGAAAGTTGATGGTTCATATGATAATTTAGTAAAGTCATGTAATGGCCCATTCAAATAGTTTTTTTCCAGTTTTTGTTGACCATAGTTTACCATACTGATTTAGATTGATTTAAAAGTCCTATTCACGTTCTGTAATAACAGCTGGATAAATACCGAAGAGATCAGTAGCCGTTATGTGGAAAAAGTTACTACATAGTAAAATGCGATTATTAGTTGGTTTTCTCATTGCTCTACAGTAAGTGTACTAAGTTTTTCTGTATATATCGCACCTAGTAATTTTAATGAACATCCTGATATCTGAGGTTTGATTTACAACATTGATAAGTACCAATAGTTATAGCTAATAAGTAATACAGTAAGATGTTAAATCTCTTTTGTTTACAGCAACTACGTTCTGATTAATCTGTGGACTCTGGATAAAATATATTAAATTTTGTACATTCTCATTTCTCCAAAGTCACGGAAATTTGTGAGGACTGAACTGTCACACTGTTGAATATTTGTGCACATGGCATGCATATTTAAACTTATAAATCCATAAAATGAAATAAAGCAATTTTTACATTATCAGCTGCATGTTTCTCAACTAAGTTTCAAAAGAACTCGATTTCTCTTTACGGTGTACGGCGGTTTTTTCATTTATTCGGGTCTGAATTATATAAAATTTTATCAAACAAAGGTTAGATCGAGAATAATATAAAATCAGGCATCTTGAAACTGTAATTCATGTTTGATATTATTAGTGGAGTATTGACGCTGAGTTTAAGAACATTTCTGCAAAATTGTGTTTTTCCGTTCTACAGGTGGCAAATTTTAGGTGGAAGAAGTATCGACAAGCTGTCTAGTATTACCTCCTTTGTTTTCATCTATCAGTTCAAATAGTTCTCTGAAGCTAGTCAGATAAGGGATACAATTAGGCAAGTTGGTGGTAAAATTTCTGAGCACTAACCATGACTGAAG